TTTACTCTATCTTATTTTTCTGCCTTTTCTGATCTTTCATGGCATCACAGTGTTTGAATTGAAAAACAGCAGTCTCCACTTTGCTACTTTTTCTTTTTTTCACCATGACCTTACTTTTCTTCCCGTTTTCTCCCCAGTGAAATATTGTTCAACTCTATCAGGAAGAACTTGTAATGGTTCTCTTGCTTGCAGGAAATTTTCCTGTGCATACTGCAAGTGTGGCACCTGTCCAAAACAACTTAATGGTGTTTATGAGAAGGTCAAGTAAGCATAAGCTAAAATCTTTGCATGCTACATCTATCAATGCTTTACTGCTCTTTCTGATCAGCAATCTCCAAGGGACCTTGGTTATGGACCACAGTCTCTACTCTGGCTGAAATTTCGGGAGGAAGGAAGCAGCATACAGCAAATAGAGTTAATTTCTGAGTGCGCACCTTGGTTATATATCTGCTATTGAGGTACTAGTCTTACCAAACCTGTTGAAGTAGTGGAGGCAGAAAGTATAACTTATGATGCTCGGAAGTCTGAGTACTTCTTTTTGCCTCTCCTTCAATGAAGGGAGAAGCAGATACTAGTGTAATTGAAAGCAACCATCTTCAAGCTGATCACATGAAGCAGATTCACGTATTTTCAGTTTGAATGTGGTACTTACTCTCACAGGGTGTCACTGAGGTTAAGAACTGGCAGGATACAAAAGGAGACATTTATGTGGTTTACGATAAGACCACAGTTGTTATAGTAAGAGTTAAAAATACACAAGCATCTCAGAACAGATGAAGATCAACCAGCTTCAAAATTAGAGTCAACCTCTAGTTAATGGGGGTCAGGAAGAAATTTACCCAGTGGTAAATTCTGTAACTGCTTTCTCCAAGATTTCTTGCAGCTTTCTCCCAAGTGTCCGGCATTGCAGTTGCTCTAGATACTTGACAAGATGGACTACAAGTATCACAGGACAGCTGTGTCTGTGTGCTTTTATCTAGCTTCAAATACCTGTTTTGAGGTTTTTTGCATGTCATGTGATAAGATGACCACAGTGGAGAATGTTTCTTCTTCAGGTTCACTAATGTAGGGCAAGAATAAATAGAATTTGAGCCTAATTTTGCATGAAAATTCAAAATAATGAATCTGATTAGTTAGTTTTAAGTACAGATTTGGCTAAAGAGGAATTAAAATTGAAAACCATGTTGGAGTGGTTTGTTAATGTTTCTTCCGAGCTCTGTGTTTTACACCCTCTCCTCCCCCCGTTATCATTTATTTTACTTTTTTATGTCACGCTCCATTTCTAAGGCTCTGACATCTTTGGAACCGATTCATAATTAAAGGAATGAATAATTCAGGTCACTGGCAATTTACAGTTTTCTCTACTCTGCTGTCTGTGGTGGAGTAACTAAATGTGGAAGATAAAAGGAATCAAAATAAGGTTTGCATCGTTCATCCAAGTAGTCCATAAAGGATAGGTATTATTTCTTGATCTATATAGCCTACAAAGGACTGACAGTGTGTTTGGAGGCTGGATCAGACTCTCACCAGATCCAGTTCTTTATTCAAACACAGGAACGATACAGGTGACCAGAGCAGGTGACAGGGACCATGAATTTTTCCATTTTCATTTCTTTCTTCCCACCGTGCCAGACACCATGTGCTTCCTGGAGCTGTCCTCCAGTCCCACTTTGGCCCCACCTGGGAAGGAGCTGCTCAATTTCAAGTGAGGCTGGAGCCACCTCCCGTTACAGAGCTGTCCATCCTATCAGTGGCAGGACAGCCATCACAGACAGCAGACTGTCAACCCGCAGCAGAAACACTGAAAAGAGGATGTTTGATGGCAAGAATCATCCTTAGGTCATGTTAGATTACAAAGGCCATCATTGTAGCACCATCTGTGTCTTCCTTCCCTATTTTTTCTAAAAATGTTTAATGTGTAACAAAGGATAAGTTTTCTACATTATGCGTTCTTTCAGTAATCTATAAGCGTAACATAGCTGGCTGGAGGGAAATGTAGTGGGGTACATGAACATGGTGTCTCATCAGAAGCATGTGAGCAGTGCTGCTGAAGAGAGTAGGAATATTCACATGCTTCACTTTAGACTTGCATTTAATTACCCTGCTAATCCGGGCTAAGTTCCCAACCAAAAGTGATGCATCATCTCCAAGGATAACCTGATTGTTCCATGGGTAATGTAAAATTATTTCTCTCTTTATGCATCACTTTAGGATAAGCCGCACTAAGTGGAATGAATTATTATAGTCAAAAATAAAATGCTGAGTGATAGCTATGTTGAAATGTACTAATGCTATTTGGAAGAGACTTGGGATTACAGTTCTGTTTCTTTCTTATGGTGGTTTATACACTTTTTTTTCCAAGCAATTTTGGCAAAAGGTGATAGAAGATTCTTGAGTTCTTTAATTCTTGGATAGCCAAACCAGTTGTATGTAGTGACTCCTTGAATTTATTAGCTTACACTATTGAAGAAAAGTCTGGTTTTATGTACCGAGGCAGTAAAAAGTAACAAAGACAATGAAAACCAACCAAAACTGTTTATCAGACTTTGTAAAATCAGCTTAAAAAGTTAACTGTCAAACATATAGTTATACATATAAACTTTTCTATTTAAAAAGAAGAGTTATTGTATGAAGTTTTCCTTGTACTGACACTCCAAAGCCATCACTGGAAAAGCAGTGCTGCTGAGCTGAGCCCTGATGTAAATAGTGGTAAATTTGTTAACTTCAAAGGAGAGCTGTGACACATAACATGCCCTGCGACTAGCCATGTCACCAGCATGTGGTTCTGGTTTCGCATATCTGTAATGCCATTGATTTAAAGAGGTTACAAAGATGTGAATTTGGATTCACATAGTGATGGATCAGCCAGCTTCTTCATCATTACATATTTATTTATCCTGTGTCAATGAAAGTTGCTTTTGCCTTTTACCAAATGAAACTAAGTTATACATGCGGTTTCTCTATTTTGTTTTCTTGCTTAAATAGACACTGGGGGGGGTGTGGGGGTGGGATGTCTTTTTTCCTCAGTCCAAAACATTGGGGTAGGATTTTTTTTATTTTTTGAGGGGGTGAATTACAAAGATATTATAGCCTGAATGCAAGATGGTAGGTCAGCCACCAGTGCTTCTGGTACTTGCTCCGTTCTGTGGCTGCGTGCAGTTATTTTATATTTTTTCTGCTGGCTGAAGGATTTACATACTGTGGCTCTAAAGGTGACACTTACCAACCCTCTCTACCTGTTGCTTTGGTTTCTCGCTATGCAGCCCTGTTGTAAGGTACGTATGAGGCACCTCGGAGTGTGGGAGGCGTGTGGTACTGCCTTTTTTAATTTTGGGAGAGTATGTCTAATGGTATAAACCAGTGGAGCTTCATTGACCTCAGTGGTTCAATCCCATTTTCTACCAGTTAACATATATTTCCTAACTTGAACCATGGGCAGAGTCAGGCCCAGTGGAAGGTTTGGTATCGGTCTGGAGGTCGCTGCAGCTGCATGTTTCACCTGGAATAAAAAAAAAAGCTGTTGGTGAGGCTGCGGTTTTACCCAATCTGGACAAAAACTTTGTAGGTCAGTAAACAAGTAGAAGGGAGGCTAACTTTCGACTCTGGAATGAATTTCACCCCAAGGCAGGGGTTTTCTGTCCCTCCCTACCCCTTTTACAGTGAAACCTTGGAGTGATTACGTTGGTTTTTCTCATTCATTTGCTCTTGTCCCTTAGGTGAAAAGCTCATGAGATTTGGCTATCCAGATATTCCCTTTGATATGAACCTAACCTATGAGAAGGAGGCTGAGCTGATGCAGTCTCACATGATGGACCAAGCCATCAACAATGCAATCACCTACCTTGGAGCTGAGGCACTTCATCCCCTGATGCAGCACACACCAAGCACAATTGCAGAGGTGGCTCCGGTCATCAACTCAGCTTATGCTCAGGTCTATCATCCTAACAGGATAGAAAGGCCCATTAGCAGGGAAACAGCTGACAGTCATGAGAACAACATGGATGGCCCGATCTCTCTTATCAGACCAAAGAGTCGAACCCAGGACAGAGAGGGCTCCCCCAGCAATAGCTGCCTGGATTCTACTGACTCAGAGAGCAGCCACGAAGACCGCCAGTCCTACCAAGGAAACTCTGCCTTAAATCCCAAGAGAAAGCCAAGCCCGGCTTATATGAAGGAGGACACCAAGGCTTTGGATGCCACAAAAGCTTCTAAGGGCTCTTTAAAGGATATCTACAAGGTCATCAATGGAGAAGGGGAGCAGATTAGGGCTTTCAAGTGCGAGCACTGTCGTGTCCTTTTCCTAGACCATGTCATGTACACCATCCACATGGGCTGCCACGGCTACCGGGACCCGCTAGAGTGCAACATCTGTGGCTACCGAAGCCAGGACCGCTATGAGTTCTCGTCGCACATAGTCCGAGGGGAGCACACATTCCACTAGGCCTTCTCATCCAAAGGGGACTCGTATGAAGTAGAAGAACTGCACATGAAGAAATACTGCACTTACAATCCCACTTTTCCTCAGACATTGAGACGCCTATTTTGTTGTTGTTGCTGTTGTTGTTGTTGCTGTTGTTTAATTATTATTATTAACCTTATTTTTTGTGGACCCAACCTCATTTGCTCTGCCCAGCTTAAGAATGGAAAGAAGAAAGGGAAGGGATAAAAGAAAAAAAAAGTCACTTTTTGGTGAGTGACCCGCCTCGCTTTCTGTGGGAATTGAAAGGCAGTCCGTTTCTGTCTCAGTCAGCTGTACATCGTGTCCTGTTTTGGGATATTGCTCAACCCTGCTAGGTGCTTTAAAGTCCTGACAAGATGCCACTCATTTACAATTTCAGATGAATAGGTAAAAACATTTCAGAGGAGAGCCTTTTTCAAACGTGTAGATACGGTGTGGGGTTTCGGTGGCTGGAGGAGAAGGGGGGAACTTTATCCTGCAGCATGAACAATTATTTTTAAAGCAAAACTGTTAGGGTTTTAGGAGTACGAATCAAAGTCGATATTCCTTTCAAAATTACTTTCTAGGCTGAGCTGTTTTCCTGGGTTCAGTGTGTAGTGCCCCTCTAGAAAAAAAAAAGGAAAAAAAAAAAAGTATGTCTTAACACTGTACCACATTACAGCAGTTTAGTTTCATAAGTCTAAGGGCCTTCTGTGGTAAGTCTGAGGCTTTGTATTTTTATTTTCCTTAACTTATGAAGCACCTTTTTTAGGACTGTTGATTTGCTGTTACTCCATGCCTATGTGTTGACTCACAGGCTTCTTAGAGACCCTTGGGAGCCTTACTTATTTAGTTGCACCCTATGTTTTAAGAAATAGCATTTAGAAATAACATTTAAACTTGATTCTAGGACAGTAAGTGGCCTAGGAGTGGGTGAGAGAGTCTGTAGTTTACTCAAGAGGTTCTGCTGCTCTTCTGAAATAATTTTGTTTTAAAATTACAGATTTTAAAATGACAAAAGTACTAGTAGCGAAGTGTTCTTTAAATATAATTATATATCTATATATACCCATATAAATACTTTCTCATTCTATTATCACAGTGTTAACCTCTTGGCAGCCGCCTAAACTAAGACTTGCAGCTGGGAAAACACTAGGAGCCAGGTCCTTGGCCAGCATTAATCCTCTTAGCTCCATTGAATTTAATGGAACTACCCCAACTACTTCAGCTACATCAGGATCCGAGCCTTGACCATTTTTTCTCTTGTTGACGTCTTATTTGCTAATTTGCTGAACCAGTGACTTCCTTTTGTTTTTAAGTCATCAATTCTGCTTTAATTTAGGGGTGGAAGTGTTTGCAGATTTTGCTGGATAGCCTTTGCTCTTGGAAAGCACAGAAGCAAACAAACAGATCACATATGACCTTCCTTACTTCTTTAGAAAGTGATACATGGAGATGCAGGTGCTGTGCTCTGATTTGGATTTGCAGATTTCACTTTTATTCTAATTTATTAATTTCACTCTAGGGAATACAAATGGAGAAACAAACTCCAGAGCAAGTCCTTGGCCTACAGAACGGCCAAGAGAATAACACCAGTCTGTTTTATTTCCTTTCTTTCTCTCCCAATAAATAACAAAGCCAGCAACCACCCAGCAAGTTGCAGGTTGCATCAGTAAAAACTGGGCTTAAACCTACGTGACAGATTGCCATTGAAACCCAACTGTTTGTACCGATCACAATTGAAATGTTGTTGTTTGGCAACAAGAGCACTGCTTAAGAATGGAAAGATCTGCATGGGTTTAACCCCCTCCGTGCATGCAGTCTCCATGCGCCTGGTGAGACCTTTTCCAAAGTATAAAGTTACTAAAGTATAAAAGAGAGAGGAAGATCAGGCCATAATGAATTCCCATCTGCGCACTTCAATCTGCGTACTTGATGCATATGCCAGTTTGCTGTTCGTTTTGAGGGTACTGGGTTTTTTTCTTCTTTTCTTCCTAGACCTGGAGCATTTGAAAGTAGGAGCTGAGTGGTATTGATTGAAATCTTTTTATGGTGACATTCTTGGCAGCTAGAACCTCTGTTTAGAAAGGATACAGTAGATCATGGCCAGATTACCTGATGACTGCTTCCCAGCACTGAAATGCTATTAAGTAGGAGCTGGTAAAGTCTTGCAGTAGCCTATTAATTATAATACAATATGGAGAGAAATGTCATCTTGTGTAATGTGAGAGCTATCAAGGCTGGGAATATATGGGCTTTGGAGAGACAGATTTAAAGACCTATTCCCAACATTGTTCTTAATGTCATTGGGTTTCTCCCCCTCCTTCTTTCTTCATCCTAATGTAGAGGAAACTCAGGCAAATGAACCCCTGCCGTCCTCCAGACCATTCTCATTTTCTTGTGCTTGGTGCAATCAAAGGAGTTTGTGCAGGAGAAAAACGGGGAGGTGCTGGAGGCACCACTTCTCTTCCATATGGCTGATTCTCTGCAGCTATGAAGGTTGGCTTAGGAGGCGGCCGGCCATATTCTGCATCACAATGTGCTTGGAAATTCAGAGAAGGGGGTTTGCTTTTACAGCATGTTGCCCCAAAAAAAAGTGGTTGTGATTTCTGCTGAGGCAGCAAAGGTCTTTTAAGAACGATGTGCAAAGGGAAAGGTGCTGGGCCTGAAGGTCACTAGGCTTGCATGGGCCTCCAGAAGACACGTGCCTGAGCCAGAGAAAAGGGTTGCTGCCAATCTCTTTCAGTCTCTGGGGGACAACACTCCGTTCTCTCCTCTGTGGTCAGCGGAAAGAATGCGGGCTATGGTTTCTTGAAATAGTTAGCACTGGGGAAAAAGTGTTAAAAGATTCTGCCTGTGTTTGAAAAAAAAAAAAAAAAAAAAGGAATATGGGGAAGGCAGAGAATCTCTTGTGTATCCACAAGTAAGTTGGCTGCAATTATATCTGCAGTTCGTTAATGTGCACTTTCATTCATTGATGATTCATTGATACCTCTTGTAGTGTATATTCTGTAGATGTTTAAGAGATCAGACAGGGAGGCTCAGTGGTTTTGTAGCTGGCTTCAGTCAAGCCCAACTTCTTGTTCCAATGGTAGCATGCAAGATCTGTATGTGAGCACTGCCATGTCCTGGTATCACAGAAAGAGAGAACTGGGGAGGCAGAGGGGAGATGCTGGTTTAGTTATCTTCCAAAAAAAATGCATTTTTTGTAGAGCAAGAAGCTGGGGGGTTGCATTAATTTTTATTATCAATGTCCTTTTCTGAACATTTACTGAAGTTTTTCATCCTAGAGCTAGGGAAAGGGGAAAGATTAAATTTTAGTTCAAATTTTGAACAAAGTTTTGGACTAGCATTTATTTTAGCATTCGATTCCTACTGAAAATTATTGGAGGGTTTTATATAAATCAGTTTGCCCCTACGCGGAAGTGTGCAAAATGGGACCTCAGAGATTATTTTTTTTTTCCCCTTGCTTGCTTTCTGCAGATTTCTAAGAAAAGCTCTTGCGTTTTGTTGAGTTCATTAGTCATCCACAGTGTACGAGGAATTTCAGTAGACAATCCTTGGCCTGCGGATCCATTTGTTCTAAGTATTTGGTGTTGCAAATCGAAACTGGCTGATTTTTATTGGACTCTTGAAATTCTTGGAATCGGGTTTCCAGTTAAAAACATGCATTTGCAAATTTAGAATTGGCTTCCTGTGAGCATTCCCCATTTTCATTAAAAAAAAAAAGCCATTTCTGCACACATCCCTGCCACTAAACCCTTTCACTTCTTTTTACATCAAAAATGGCAAGATTCTGACTCAATTTAGAGTATTACAAGCCTATTAAATGAAATAGACATGTGACTGCTTATTCTGGTTTTGGTACGATCCATATTTGTGGAGCAAAGGGCATTATCAATATATCTGCTGTTATGGCCAATGAATTTTACAGCCACCTCTCTTTGCAATGCATTAGGAGTGCACATCAAAATATATAGCATTTTTCAGTAAAGCCAGCTCTTTACTCAGTAACTTATGGGATTAAAACAATTTTATTCTCCTTAAAAAGTGCTTCCATCTATGATGTGATGTGAAAGGTGTCTAGGCATTAACCTCTCTTGGTCTGTATTAGAGAGAAAGAATCTAAATTTGTTAATTGGCCTGATTTTTTTAATGGTAGTAGTTTCTACAGTGTGAGGACACAGCTCACAAAATAGCCATGTGGAACTAAAGTATGTTTAGTAAAAGGTGAAGAAATTCTCAATTTCAAGAGTTTCCAAATTTCTTTCTGCTTACAAGGGTATTCCTAAATTGGGGTTGTCAGGCAGAAGAGGAGGCCAGGAATTAAACCAAACCCTTCAAAACTGGCCTTTAATAGGACATTATTACTGTTGTCTAGGTCCTGAGCTGGCTTTTTCCTATTTGAAAAGAAGCCCCGGTGAAAGAAGCCAGGCAACAGACACTCCTTCCTCCAGAAACTTTGGAGATAATTTAGGGAAAGGTGCTTATTTCAGCCAGGGGCAGGAGCTGCAGTAATACAGTTCCTTTGCTAGATAATATTCCTTTCCTTAACTCTCGCTGTGCATTATAACATAATGAGGAGGGAGAAGGGAGGCTGCACTGATACCTGAGTCGCCTAAACTCAGTGTGGGATTTTAGGAAAAGTGCGATGAAATTGGCTTTGACGCTAGAAATTTGCATCTTAGCTTGGCTTAGTATCATCTAAAAACAAAAATGGATGGTAGTAATGGCCTGCGGTCTAGGGCAGCTGGAGATTTTGAGAAAGTATATTTATATATATGGTATCGTATAATTAGATATATGCTTTATTGTATATGTGCCTTTTTCAAATGCATTTTGGAAGTTCATGATGTCGTTCATGGTATCTTACCATACCCTTTCAGAATGCACGACAAAAACCAACCCAAAGTAAACATCCCTTCTCCTACGGCGTAGTGAGGCAGATCCCTCTCCCCTTCTGCACCCTCCTTGGCAGCTTGACCCGGAGAGAGGACCATCTTAGTACTTTGCTGTGAGATTTCCTGGAGTCAGCTGGCTTTTAGGAGTGGGAAGGGCTGAAAATTACCCTAGCAAAGTGCATTCCAGCTATCCAGCCAGAGCTGGTCTCAGAGCTGGTCCCAACCAACACAGCGTCCCCAGAGCAGTGCCGAGACTTGCTGCAAAAGCCCCCAGCTGCACTGTGCCCCACAGAGTACCAGGGCAGCCATCTCCTGTTTTCCTCCCCTCCACAGCTTTAAGTAAAGCACGCTTGAAAATGGACTTCGCTGTGCTTTTAAGTTCC